GAGGCCCTGAACTCATTTCGTCTTTCTTTCCTTCATCCTCATATACGCAATAGGGCGAACTGCGATAAACTGCTGGCCCTCTCCCCCATCCCCCGAAAGCACCCGACCAACGCTCGAGAGACGAAAGCGACGCAGCCCGCCGCCACAAAAAGGGGCAGGCTGACAGCCAGCAATCAACCATGCGCCGTCGTCAATGGACGGTTGTCATTCTACTCGTCTTCCTGTTGATATGCGCATACACTGTATTCACACTTCCCTCCGATCGACGACCGACAGTTCCCATACCAGGCTCCGACAAACCCCCTCCGCCCCCGCAAGATCAACAGACACTCGGTGACGATGCCGCCGCCGCCGCCCCTCCTCCTGACAGACGACCAAAGTCCGCTGGCGGCACCGGGTCACACCCCATGTGGCACCTCATGACGAGCGCCGAGAAAGAGTTCCAGGATACGCTGAAGCGCCAGTCCAAGACGCTCGAGGAAGCCGTCAAGGAGTACAAGCGCCGCTACAACATCCCGCCGCCCCCCAACTTTGACAAGTGGTTCGAGTTCGCAAAGGCCAGCGGCGTACAGCTCATTGACGAGTTCGACATGATACACGAGATGCTCACACCCTTTTGGGGTCTGAAGCCGGCGACGATACGGGAGCGGGCGCGGGAGGCTCTGGGCTTCGATAACAAGCTGATCGGCCTCCTGATCCGGGACCACAAGATCAAGCACATTCAGGGCGGCTCAGACTGGCAGCGCGATGCCACCTCTGGCATGATGAAGAAGTTCATCGAGCACCTGCCCAGCATGGATATCGCCTTCAACATCCACGACGAGCCGCGCGTGGTCGTCCCTCACGAGGACCTCGCACGCCTCGTCAGCCGCGCCAAGGACGTCAACATGCCCAAGGCGAACGCTGCCATTAACCCGGAGAACGCCTTTACGAAGCGCGCCGCCGGCCTTAGCGAAGGTAACATCATCGACGAGTACAAGCGCACCCGCTTCAACGTCTTCGCCCACCAGCCCACCTGGACGCACTCTCGCATGTCCTGCCCACCCGACAGCCCCTCGCGCGGTCTCGAGGATGACGAGCTGTCTGACGACATGAGCAAGTACGGAGTCAGCGAGCTCGGCTTCGTCTACAACGTCACCGCCATGTCGGACATCTGCCTCTCGCCTTCCCTGAGCGCGACCTACGGCTTCTTCGATCGCCCCAACGCCTACAACATCGTCCACGACCTCTTTCCCATCTTCTCCCAGTCCAAAATCTCCTCCTACAACGATATCCTCTACCCGTCGCCCTGGTACTGGTATAAGAAGGTCGCCTACGACGAGTCAAAGGATATGCTCTGGGAGCAGAAGCAGGACCGCCTCTACTGGCGCGGCTCCACGACGGGCGGCTTCTCCCGCAACGGCGGCTGGCGCCGCCAGCACCGTCAGCATCTCGTGCAGAAGCTCAACGCCGCCGACCAGGCAAAGATCTTCATCAACCGCGGTGACGAGCAGACCCCCAAGTGGGAGGTGAAGGAGGTGCCCCGCGGCGACTACCGCGAAATCGTCGACGTCTTCTTCTCGCACGTCGGGCAGTGCGACCCGGGCGACTGCGACGCCGAAAAGGAGTTCTTCAAGATCCAGGGCCACGCCGAGCAGCAGGACGCATGGAAGTACAAGTACCTTCTCGACATGGACGGCAACGCCTTTTCGGGACGCTTCTATGCTTTCCTGCAATCACGCTCCCTCGTCTTCAAGCTCGCCATCTTCCGCGAGTGGCACTTTGAGTGGCTTAAGCCCTGGGCGCACTACATCCCCATGAGTCTGCAGGGCGACGACTGGCTCGAGAGCGTGCGCTTCTTTGGCGACGGCGCGCTGGGGCGCAACGAAGCCGAGCGCATGGCTCTCAGCAGTCGCGACTGGGCGAATAAGGTGCTTCGCAAGGAGGATATGGAGGTCTGGTTCTTCCGCCTCCTCTTAGAGTGAGTTTTACCAACCAAAGAAATCACCTATGTTTGCTAATTATTTCGACGTAGGTACGGTCGTGTCATTGACGACAATAGAGATAACATCGGCTTCGCTGTCGAAACTATCCCAGAACCGCCGGTGTAGACACCCGCTGCTGCGTTCGTGCCTGCCAGGTGGCCACACATCACCATTGGCCAGATTCACGTTATTTGCGTCTTCTATGTATTTTTTTTCTTTTTCCCCATGGGGAAAAAAGCACGAAAAAAAAGGAGTTCTCTGGGTAAACATCTTTACGCTATGAAACGGGAGGGAGAGGGGGAAGGGACGATATCAAAGTCTGTTTTTCGTTGTTGCTTTTTTCCCCGTTCTTAGAGAGTCTGTCTATTGTTCCCTTATACCACATGAGATTTTGCTTTCTTTGTACCTTTTTCTGACTCATTTCTGCTCGGTCTCCAAAGTATGCTTAACAGGAGGATCACCTATGGCAGAAATTACACATGATGGGAACGAGTCGGGGAGAAAGAACCCCGCCGAGCTCGAGGCGCTGAATGAGAAGAGCTACGTATACTTAATTCAAAGTCATGACAACAACGTATTACTTGAAACCATCTCTCTGCTTTGTTCTTGACGAATGTTGGCAAGTCCGTCAATGCGTCGATTGGACGTACTCAATCATGACAATATAACAATCGCGTGAGAGTGAGTTCATCATTGTGACATCCATGAAGTCTAAAATGACCACCATCGCGGCTGCCCTGTTTTTTTAATTCTCCACGTCCAAACGCCTAAATGGTTTGTGAAAAAGGAACTGATGTTACATCACCGCGCCTCCCCTCTGACTCAACGCGCCACCTCTTCAATCCTCATCTTCCTCATCGCCATCGGCATCGCCGTCAGCGTCCCGGTCCGAGGAAGTGCCAGGCGCACGAGAAGTCTCTTCAACCGGCTCGGCCTCTTCGACATAGCCAATGGGCTTCTCCTTGTACCGCTTCATGTTCTCGGCCGGGGCCCCCTTGGGATCGGTAATGGAGATCTCCACCTCGTTGACAACCTGCGTCTCGTCGTCCACCTGACTAAGGGTACGAGCGATATTCTTGGCGCGCTGGGGACGGATGGTCGTGCGTTGGATGACCGGATAATAGTACGCCGCCTTGGGCCTGCCGCCCGCGGAGGGCTCGTCGTTGAAGGCGAGAATGACCTCTTCGCTGTACTTTGTGTTGTGGTCCAGCTCAATCTCTTTTGTCGTCTCATACGCACGCAGGCGCGAGAACTGGAAGCACGGGTTGGAGCCGCTCTGGTACGTGTAAAGCGATTCGTCGTCGCGGTCAGGGTTCTCCGGATCGAACTTGGCCCGGAAGTTGTCGCCCGTCGTCTTGGTCTTGGGGAGGAAGAAGCTGTAGTCCATCAGGTTGGCGGGCTTGGGGTTGCGTGCAGGATCGCGCTCGTGGGCCTCAACGGCGGCCTGGAATGCCTCGTTCTCCTCGGGGCTTCTGTCCAGCGGGCGGAGCAGACCGCTGAGCAGGCGACTGTCATACTTGTTGGCGCTGGCCACGGGGTTCGTGAGGAGCTTGACGGTGACGTAGGCGCCCGAGTCGGGGAAGGCGTCGTGGTCGGGCAGCAGCGGCAGAGACTGCGTGAGATGGACGTTTGGTTTGCTCGGGTGGCGATGGCGGGTCGGGTTGCTGAGGAAGCGCTCGGCGCTCTCGAAGCTCTTTTCGATCTTGCGTCTGATGGCGGCCGGTGAGTCTTTGTCCGGCTCAGGGGAGCGACGCTTCTCTGCGCGCTTGATCTTGGGGTTGATGAATGCTCCCGCGGCGACGCCAGCCTTTCTGGGTGCTACGGAGGAAATGTATTCTGTTCTTCTCAGGAAGGAGACTGATGCGTCGGCGTTGCTCTTAGCTCGGCCAAGGGTCGACAGTGGTCTCAGCAGGGCTCTGTCGTGAGGATGAACGGCAGGCGGATGCGAAGAGGCTTGAATAGCTGTATCGATGTCAGTACTGAGCTCCCCTTTGGTACAACGCGGCTGCGCTTACAGCTCTCGTCTCCGTCAAAGATACCCGGCATGCCTACCAAGTCCAAGGGCATGCCGAGCTCCGCATCGACCTCGATGTTGAGAGGCTGTTCTCTTGCCAGACGTGATGCAAATCCCGGCGTTGTATACTGCCCGCTAGCCAGGCCAGTGTTTGGGATGTCGAGGAGCTTGGGAGGATTAGGGGGCGGCGGGAGGGCGTTGGAATATCGGATTCTGGCAATGAAGTCCTGATGGATCATGCGCTCGCCGCCGCGAGGCGCCGAGGACGACATCGTGGCCTTTGGAATGCGTGTGCGTTTGGTGGGATCGTTTCGATATCTGAGTCGCAATTGAGGGTTGAATTGAATTGCTGAGGAGGAGAGGATGGCTTCGAGTACTGGCAGCGGGGAGCTGTCGTCGTCGCGGTCGCGTTGAGTAGGAAGGTGCAATTGGCCCAGAAAAGTTCCACGAGGCTGGAGTTTGGGGTACCTTACCTGTACACTGTGGTTGCGCCAGCCAAACGCCCGGACCTCGACCTGTAGCCTTATCAGCTCTATCAGACGAAGACACAGCACCCCCCAAAGCTGTCAACCTGGAAGCTTGACGTTAACGTACACCATAAAAACAAAAAGAAGACGCAGTGTCGTAGATGAAAAGTCAGAGACAGATTTGTCCTCTCTATTACAATACGTAGTATGAGATGAATGATTTCAAAGCAAAACCGTCACTCATCAACGGGGCAATGGCTCCCGACCGTGCAGGAGGACCTCCTGATGCGCCCCGTGTAGTTGGCCCGTCGCAACCATCCATGCACTCATACCCGTGGCCTCCTTTCTATAGGTACATACAGTTTGCCTTCGCCCATCGTCGCCATCCGGACTTCGTCAAAAATGTGTATTCATCCTCGCGCACTGTCTAATTTTTCTTCCCTTTCACGTGCCTAGACTCTTACACTTGTCCCACCTCGACGGGCGTGACAACGACATTTGTCTCTCGTAAAAACCCGCTGATTCCATCGCGTCGTAAAGTTGCGTGGCCCCCCTTTAGGAGCTGTTCTTGGCGTAGTTCTTCTTGCCAAAGGTGAAGGGAACGTAGCGGTACTTGATCATGTGCTGAATCTGCTTGCGCACTGCAAAGGAGGGAAGGTCAGCTGTGTGCCAGGGTGAAATGCCAGGGAGACAAGGCGTGGGGGTAGGAAACGTACTCGTCAGGAAGAAGAGGATAAACCAGTACATGACCAGGACGGGCCAGAAGACGGGGACATTGAAGATCTCCCACCAACTGCAGAAGAAGGCGATGGCGATGGCACGGGTGGCCCAGTACCAGAACTTGAACTCGGGGAGGCGGCGAATGAAGGGCTTGAACTCCTCGTCCTGCTTGGTGGGGAGAATGCCGACACCACCGTCCTCCATCTCAGTGTCCATAGCCTCGTTGGAGGGGTCAAACTTGGGTTGCAAGAAGGCCAGGAACAAGTTGAGCAGGTAGATTCCGAGAGCGTAGGCGACAATGTACCAGCCCTGCGCCACGAAGATGCGAGCGAAGAAGCCCAGGAGGCAGACGCCCGTGGCGATCCATCTGTAAAGCACGAAGGGGGTTGACTGATCGAGAAGCGCCTGGTATTGCTGCGATGAGAATTAGCAAGATGTCGCTGGCAGACTCCGGGGGGAATTTATCGTCGTCGTACTCTTTGCAGCTTCGAGGTGTGGGCTGTGACTGACGAGAAGGCAGTCTGTTCCGGCTCGGCAGAGTCCATCTTGGGCGGTATTTGCGCGAATGAACTTTGATATGAGATACTCGTGCAATAAGCTTGTTCGCGTGGGTTGGCGTGGATATGTAGCCGTTAACGAGGGTGCAAGTCTGGGATGACGATGCTGTGGGAAGAGGCCGCCGCTGCGCTGTCGCGATCTGTCAGGACGAATTTTTGGGTTGACGGGATCTCTGGAGATGGATTCAAGCCACGTAAGGCTTGCAACAAAACTGTCCCTTCCCTTTGAGATTGGCAGCGCGCTGCACCGCGCCTGCTTTTTCGCCCGAATCTTATCCGGCGCAGTGATTGGATTGCGCCCGTCAGTGATTGGATCCCCTGAAAATGGCCCGAACCAGCCCCTGTGGCGCAGCCTGCACCCTGGAACCAGCCAGAGGATCCGTATCTGCCCAGGATCCCGCTGCTACAGGTGATTGCAGTGTTGGAAGATCGAGCCTGTGACGCGGGGGGAGCTGTCACAGTGCGCGGCGAGTGTCTGTGCCTCGCCCGACTGTATCCTCGGCTTTACAGAGCCGATGCTTTCCAGCTATCCTCGAGCTTGGATCAAACGTCAAATGGAGCTCGACCTACCTGTTACATCACAGCTCCATCAACAATTCGTGTCATTTATTTCAGACGACATCTTTGTATCAATCGAGGCCAAGATAAATCATCTCGTGTTATACTATAGCTCACAACATAACGTCTCACTCACATTGAGCGTCTTCCCGAGCTCTCATCTGCTTCACCATGAACTCACTCAGATACCTCCGGCCGGTGGCCTCGCGTATGCAGACGCCGACGCTGCCCAGACTCTCACGCGGATTCGCCAGCAAGACATACGAGTTCATTCAGGTCTCTCAGCCCAAGCCTGGTGTTGGTCAAGGTAAATACTGTTCCAGCCGTAATCAATCATCACTCTACGACGACGACGCTCATCATGATCCACTTTAGTGACGTTGAACCGCCCCAAGGCCTTGAACGCCCTCTGCACTCCCCTCATCCATGAGCTCAACGATGCGCTAAGGGCTTTCAACGCGTCGGACGAAACGTCCGTCATCGTTCTGACAGGCTCCCAAAAGGCCTTTGCAGCCGGTGCCGACATCAAGGAGATGGCTCCTCTCACCTTTTCAGAGGCATACACCAAGTCCTTTATCGAGTCGTGGTCGCTTCTCACCACCGAGGTCAAGAAGCCCATCATCGCCGCCGTTTCCGGTCACGCGCTCGGCGGAGGCTGTGAGCTGTCCATGATGTGCGACATCCTCTACTGCACCGAGACTGCCAACTTTGGCCAGCCCGAGATCAAGCTCGGCACGATCCCGGGTGCCGGCGGCAGCCAGAGACTCACCCGGGCTATCGGAAAGTCCAAGGCCATGGAGTTGATCCTGACGGGCAAGTCCTTCAGCGGTGCCGATGCCGAGAAGTGGGGTCTTGCGGCCAAGGCATTCCCTTCGTACGAGGTTCTCATGGAGGAGACGCTGAAAACGGCAGAGACCATCGCCGGCTACTCGAGGGTGTCCATCAACGCGTGCAAGGAAGTTGTGAACAAGAGCCAGGATCTGCCTCTGAGGGATGGTGTCGAATTTGAGCGGAGAGTATTCCACAGCTTGTTCGGCAGCAACGACCAAAAGATTGGCATGAAGGCATTCGCGGAGAAGAAGAAGGCAGAGTGGACTCACTCTTGAAAAGCTTCATGCTTGTGAAAAGACTAGTTGTATGCGAAATAGCCGAGTCTGGCAGAGACATGATGTTGTGCAACCACGATCTTGGGCAAATGAGCGCGTGCGTGTGTTTGGGGAAATCCGTTAAATTACTCGGCATGAATAAGACCATGTAAGAGCACACAGTCAGCCCAGCACCACCTTTTTGCTTGGCCATGTTGCTTTGCAGGAAAAAGGATGATGTTACTTTTCGGGGTCTCTCTCGTACAGCCCTTGCTTGCATGCATGATGACTTTAGTCTCGAGATTCTTCGCCTGCCTTGGCCAATGCCTAGAAAACCACATAAACCACAGTGTCTTCATGCCTCGCCGAGAATACGCAGTTTAAACCTTTAGTCTCAAGAAGTCCGGAGAGTCGGTGGGCGTTGAGTTCGTATTACTTGGAGCCTACAGGGGGCTAGCCCGTCCCAAAAAGTAGCGGAGGGGTTGCAATGATCTCAGCTTATTGGCTCCGCGTGGGAGTTGGGATGCTTTTTGAAGCTAAGGGCAGGGGTAGGGGTCGGCGGCGGGCGGGAACCAACGTGGGGTTGACACCCAACTTGGGGCGGCCAGCGGGCAGCCGTAGCCTGTAGGCCACTGGACCCGTCCCTTAGCATCCAATCCATTTGACGGGGTCACCTCACAGGGCGGTCTCTGACCATTTCTGACCCCTTACACACCTTTTTTCCTTCCTGAACCCGTAAGCCTTTGAGCCTGTGAGGTGCTTCTGCTGCAGCGGCCACGGCGCGCCCAGCTTTCGGCCCCGCCACCCACCTCACCTAAGGCTCGCCTGACAGCCAGTCTTAAACCGACATGTTCCCCTCGCGATTCCGCTGGCCAAATCTCCTCATGACATTGTCTTCGTGTCCGGCAATCCAGGGATCGCGCGGAGCGATAGTTCCTGCATGGATTCCTCAAAGCCCGCACTCGATCTGGAGAGGGAGTTGACGTGCTCTGTAAGTGTCGTCTGATCCAATGCTCTGTAGCGTCGCCCTAGGAGAGGGGCACTTTTTTTCAACCCCCATTGGATTCTGCAGGACTCTAGAGATTATATGTGCGCTGACCGACTTTTCTTCTTGCCTTCTAGATATGCACCGAGCTCCTTTACCAGCCTCTGACTCTGCTCGATTGTCTACACACGTATTGCGGTGCCTGCTTGAAGGACTGGTTTTCTTTCCAAGCGCAGCAGGCCGAAAACTCACCGACCCCGCCCGCACCAGGGACAAACATCTTCACCTGCCCGTCATGTCGTGCGCAGGTTCGCGATACGAGGCACAATGCCACCGTCGCCACTCTCCTCGATATGTTTGTGGCTGCGAACCCGGACAGGAGGAGATCTGAATCCGACGTGGCGGAAATGGTGAAGAAGTACAAGCCAGGTGATCAGGTGCTGCCAGAAGTTAAGATTCCCGAGAGAACAGCGGAAGAGAGGCGCGCAGACGACGAAGAAAGGAGGTTACTGGAAGATGTGCGGGAGATGAGCCTCAGAGACGCCGGAGTAGACTCTTCCTCGGGACATCGACATCGACGGCGTAGAGAGGACAGCAGCTCTGCCGATGGACGAACCAGACGGAGCCGGGACCACAGTCGGGACAGCCGCCACACCCACAGACATGAGGGCAGTCGGAGACCGCGAGACGACGAAGGGAGGCCTACTGGGGACCAGCTGCAGCCGGATTCGAGGTCGGGCGAGCAAAGGAGACGGCGAAGGAGTGAGTCGAGACAGCGTGCCCAGGATTCATCCGACATGAGGCGTCGGCAAATCGAGCACCAGTCGTCACTCAGATCACTCATAAGCTCGAGTGATTTGAGCGAGCGCGACGTGCAGAAGGAAATTGAGGATTTTGCCAGACAAATCCAGGAAGAGGGCTTGTTGGATGGGCTCGATCTGGACAACATCGACCTGAGCCGGAACGATGAGCTGAGTCGGAAGATTACAGAAGCTTACAGACGACGGCAACGGGAGCGGGAGCGAGAACGAGAGCGCACCAGGGCCGAAGGAACGAGAAGAAGGGACACCAGTGGCCAGCCCAGGCACTCTCCAGATCGTGTGCAGGAGATCAGGTCAAGTGCATCAGACACAAGCAGGCCCAGTAGCAGGCAACGACCGCACTCAAGGTCAACTAGTGCAACTGGGTTTCCTGATGATCGCAGCCGGCCGCCACTCTCACAGAGCGCCCTGCATCTTGAAGTTCGACCAGAGGAGAGGCGGCGACGGAGGCGAACCTCGAGCGGCGGTCGCAGCGCGACGACACCCCTCCCAGCAACGCAGTCCGAGACCCGCGTCGCCACTCGATCGCAGACCGATCTGTCGTCACGAACACATTTTGGTGAAGCAGTTGCCCCGAGAACCGTCTTCACCGAGGCGAGAAGCTCGAGCACGCCATCAGTACCTACCACGACGCAGTCGCCGACGACCACCACTTCGCCAGCACCGCGCGAGCTGACCTTTGCTAACCGCATGACGAATTCTTCTGCGTTGGTGTCTTCCAACTTTGCCGCGTCTCCGCCCATAGAGCCGTTGTCGCCTCGTCTGCAGCGGCCAAACCGGCCGGCAGACTTGTCCATCATCAGCCAAGCAACTTCAGGCCCTGTCGGGCTAGGCTTGGGTTTGGGGATAGGGAGTCCGACCACCCCCGGTCATCAACGAACACGCTCGCAACTGTACCCGGAGCCCTCGATTACGTGTTCCCGCTGCGCAAAGCAGCATATCGAGTACGAGCTACACTACAACTGCGGCATCTGCGCCAGCGGAAATTGGAACATCTGCATCGACTGCTACAGGTCCGGCAAAGGCTGCTTGCACTGGTTTGGCTTCGGGTACGGAGCGTGGGCCAAGTGGGAAAAGGCTCGGCACACGGCACACGAGGACATACCCAGACCTCACATGCTGACGGCGAATCGTTACCTCCAGCCAAAGATCATCCCGGGTGGAGCGGAAGGCAGGCGAACTCTCACGACCGACGATCCGATGAAGCGGTTGGAAAGCGGCAACTTCTGTGCTCGATGCCAGGCCTGGGCGAACGAGTGCTTCTGGCGATGCGACTTTTGCAACTTTGGCGACTGGGGGTTTTGCAATAATTGCGTGAACCAGGGACGATCGTGCACACATCCGCTTCTGCCTCTGACGTACCAGCCTCAGCCATCACACACGCCACCTGCCAGTCCCAGGTCGCCTCAGCCGCCTCACGCGGCCGCTGTGCTGACGGGGCCTAACATTCACAATATTGGCCCCTTTAAGCCCCTGACGTTTACGACGCGCTGTGACGTCTGCCAGGACCCTATCTCTCCCAACCACAGCCGATATCACTGCTTCACTTGCACCAGCTCAATCGAGCCGGACACGCAACCTGGCGACTACGATGTATGCACAAATTGTTACGCCAATCTTGAAGCGCGTGATCAAATCAGTCCCGAGAATGGGCACGCGGGCTGGCGCCGGTGTCTCAACGGCCATCGCATGATCGTGGTCGGCTTCCGCGACGGGCCGGGCGGGCAGCTGCGGCACATACTATCCGACCTCGTGGGCGGCCGCAATCTCCGCATCACGCAGTCGGATGGCACCGACGACCAGGCCCCGCAGAAGTGGTGGTGGCACGAGGGCGGGCAGACGAGGGAGCGCTTCGTCACCAGGGACGTTGCGGCGGACGCCCCGACAGGCGAGGGTCTCGCGCAGGGGTTCCCCGCGGACGGCGGCGTCGGGATGAGGGCGGCAGCGACGTGGGCGTGGTATCCCAAGGCCGAGGACGAGCTGTTGTTCCCCAAGGGGGCCGAGATCCGGGAGATTGAGGACGTGAACGGGGACTGGTTCTTTGGGGTGTACATGGGCGCGAAGGGACTGTTTCCATCGCCGTACGTAAGGCGGCTTGATGATCATGCAGGATAGTAATTGGTCGGTGGTCATTGGGGGGAGCCTGAATAGTAAATGCTGTGATGAATGCATCGGCGACTTGGGCGAGCACGTATCCCCGTCTCGGATACTCTCCCATTAATAGGTGAAATGGATAATTCTTGGTTCATTGAGGATCGCTTCGTGAAACTTCTTTTTACCACGATGCTTTCGAACCGGATCTCGATGTCACAGTCACAATCAACAATCTTGAGAAACAAGTAGAAAGAATTGAGTCAATCCGGCTCGGCCGTCATAGTCACCGACTGCCGGCCCCCGGCCCCGTCACCCGCGCGCCCCACACTGACGGCCGCTAGCGGCTCTGACGTGATTTCTGAAGCTGAACCCAATTGAAGAAAAGCCCCCCACTACGGATGCATGCTTGCAAGCTTAGAAAGCCGAATGCCGGAGACCCGTTTCCTCAGCACTTGGACTCGAATTCCCTAAGCTCTCTTCCTACCACACACCCGCAACACGGCCAACTGGTTTAGTTGAATACTTGAGCCCTGTCTTGAGGTAGCTCCCGCAATTAGAAAGCCCAACATGAGCCGCATCGCCGTCCGTCGCTTTGCGACAACGGCCGTCCGCGCCATTGACCCGCCGACGGCTTACTCCCTCAACCTGTCCCGCGCGCAAGGCGTCGTCAAGGGCCTCACCGGCGGTATGTTCCCCCACACACTCAATTCAGACCTTGCACGAGGGAAAGGGATGGATCGAAACCCCATCTGTAGCAAAATCCACTGACACTGAACCACCCCCTCAGCAATCGGCAACACCCCTCTCATCCGCCTCAACCGCCTTTCCGCCGAAACAGGCTGCGAAGTCCTCGGCAAAGCAGAATTCATGAACCCAGGCGGCTCCGTCAAGGATCGCGCCGCCCTCTACGTCGTCAAAGACGCCGAGGAGCGCGGCCTCCTGAAGCCAGGCGGCACCGTCGTCGAGGGCACCGCGGGAAACACGGGCATCGGCCTCGCCCACGTCTGCCGCTCCCGCGGCTACAAGCTCGTCATCTACATGCCAAACACCCAGTCCCAGGGCAAGATCGACCTCCTGCGGCTGCTCGGCGCGGAAGTCTACCCCGTCCCCGCCGTGGCGTTCGAGAACCCGGAGAACTACAACCACCAGGCGCGCCGCCACGCCGAGAAGCTCGACAACGCCGTGTGGACGAACCAGTTCGACAACACGGCCAACCGCCGCGCGCACATCGAGACCACCGGCCCCGAGATCTGGGAGCAGACGGGAGGGAAGATCGACGCCTTCACCTGCGCGACAGGCACCGCCGGAACCCTGGCCGGCACGACGCGCTACCTAAAAGACGTCTCCAACGGCCGCGTGAAATCCTTCCTCGCCGACCCCCCCGGCAGCGTGCTGCACTCGTACGTCTCCTCGGGAGGGCAGCTCGTCGAGCGGAGCGGGTCCAGCATCACCGAGGGCATCGGCCAGGGCCGCATCACGGACAACCTGCAGCCCGACATTGGCCTCGTCGACGGGTCGCTGACGATCGCCGACGAGAAGAGCATCGAGATGGTGTACCGCTGCCTCGACGAGGAAGGGCTGTACCTCGGCGCCAGCTCGGCGCTCAACGTCGTCGCCGCCAAGGAGGTGGCGGAGAAGCTCGGCAAGGGGAACACCGTTGTGACGATCCTGTGCGATGGCGCGTATCGGTATGCGGAGCGGCTGTTCTCGCGCAAGTGGCTTGAGGAGAAGAAGCTTTTGGGGGCGATACCGAAGCATTTGGAAAAATACATTGTTTTGCCTTAAGCAGTTTATTGGTCGTGGTTGTAGAGCGGACCTTTGTCTTTGGTCGTTGGTTGTGTGCGTATTGTGTTGTATACATAGATAATTTTACATATCAGCTGTACATAGCCCCTTTTTTGGAGCCTCTCTGATTCTCTGATTCTCTCCCCCCTCTCTTCGCTTTTCATCGCCCCCTTTTCTATCCTATTCCTCATGCCTTGCTATTATCACACATCATTCCTGCCCTCTCCCAAGCCATCGCTTTATCCTACATACCATGTGCTTACTCGGATCCAAAGAGCGCATTGTACGTCTTGAGCCCACGCTCGGCAGGGAACGTCTGGTTCTCAGCAACATCCTTCACCTCGGGCCCCAACGCCGCCGCAATGGCATTCAGCCGGTCTGCGATCGGCTTCTCCACCACGCGCGCGGCCAGGAACAGGCCGTGCAGGATCGGGCTCGCGTACGAGAGGTACTGCGTCCGGCTGTGCACGAGGTACGCCACGCCGTCGACGCGGTCGGCGTACGCCTCGGCCGGGTGGAGCTGCAGCAGGCCCTTGCCGGCGGGCCACCGCTCGACGAGCTTCTTGGCCAGGCGGCCGACCTTGCCGTCCACGTCCTTGCTGTCGTTGTGCTTGACGGCCAGCACCGCCGACAGGTGCAGCGCGGCGCCGATGATCTGCGGGTCGTTGTAGAGGGCGAAGCGCTCCTGCTCGGGAGTCGCGGCGCCCTCTTGAGCGAGCTGCCTCTTTCTGAGCTTGCGGGCGTTGGGCGCGTGGCCCTTGTCCTCGAGCATCTCGAGCACGATCTCGGCCCACCGCAGTGCCTGCTTCGTCTTCTCCTGGTCCCACTCGCTCTCGACGGCGCGCATCTGCACGAAATGCAGCACTTCGTTGACCTTTTCCGAGTTGTCGAGCTTCATCCCCGTCTTGCGGACCTGTCTCGCCGCCTCGATGATGGTGTAAATCTGGCCCTGCTGGCCGGCGATGCGAATCATCTTGGCAAAATCCGTCTGGCTGTAGTGGCGCCCCGCGGTGCGCATGCCCGAGAGCAGGCGGCCAAAGTTGTTCCAGTCCTGCGGGGTCTCCATGGCGCGGAGAGCCTTCCAGGTGATGTCGCGCGAAGGGGGGAGGGCCTCCTCGTTAATGTGGTTGAAGCGGTGCTCGAGGCCGTCGATCTCGAGGTATACAGGGTCATTTTTGAGGCGGTGCTTGAGCTTCTCGGAGAAGACGCGCTTGCGCTGGTGGATGGGGAGGTGGTAGGGGAGGATGATGTTCGTCTGGATCTCCTCGAGGATCGGGCCGAGGCCGGGCGTCGTGGTCTTGTCGAAGAGAACTTGGGGGTCTGCGAAAGAACGGCAAGCTGTCAGCGAAACTTTCTTCATAGGATCAATGCGAGATATATATCACGAGACGACGTACTTTGACGGGCAGGCGTCTGACCAAAGGACCGCTGCTGCTGCTGCTGTGCCATGCACGCCGGCTGATCCCACACCGACGCCTTTGCGCCCCTAAGGGCTCTTCCCATTAATATCCTCGACATGATGGGCGATTTGGGTTGTGTATAAGCTCGTCAGGCTTCCTATCCGTCGTCGGCGAAAAGGGAGCTACTCGGGATTGCCTGCAGGGTAGCCACCCAAAATTTTGGATCGAACGAGTCTCCCGGCCCGGCGGCTCCGCATCATTGATGCACCGAGCCAATCACAGCCCGCAATTCGCACCTCGAGCCTCTTGAACTTTTTGAACCCTTTAACCAAGCTCTGCCTGTCGTCGCTCGATCAGACGTAGTTGTATCGTCTCGTCCCGTCCCACGACAAGACACCATCACCACAATGAACGCCACAAGTCTCTTGCGGCCGATGGGCTGCCTGAAGACGGCCCTCCGCCAGACGCGGCACCAGAGACTCCTCGCCCGGTCCATGGCCACCGCCGCCGCCCCCGAGCCGCCATCATCTACACCCTCACCGGCGACGCCCTCAGTGAAGCCGTCCTACTGTAAGGCGAACATCACCCAACTGCCACACGAACCCCAAGCAAGCTAACAAACCACATCACAGACGGCCCCCGCAACAAGCCAACCTTCGCAGTCTACCCTCCCCTCCCCTCAATCCGCCAAACAACCCACAAGAACCCTCTCCCCTCCCTCGACGCCGCCCAACGCACAACCCTCGACCCGACCGGCGCCCGCACCCGCCTCTTCGACCCAGCCCGCCCCGACGCCGCAAAAGTAGGCGACGTCCTCATGGTGACCACAAAATCGGGCGAGCCCTTCTCCGGAGTATGCATGTCCATCCGCCGCCGCGGCGTCGACACGGGCATCCTCCTCCGCGGCCAGCTCATGAAGGTCGGCGTCGAGATGTGGTACAAAATCTACTCCCCGACCGTCATCGGCATCGACATCGTCTGGCGTCGTCCCAAGCGCGCGCGCCGCGCCCGCCTGACGTACCTGCGCAAGCCCAAGCACGACATGGGCAACGTCGATCACCTCGTCTTTGCTTGGAAGAAGGAGAGGTACGGCACGCGCAGCAAGGGCAGGGCCGGTTCGAGGTTTTAAAAGAGATTGGGGAAGGATGCAAGAAATAGGCGGGGATGGGACGGTCTGTCTCTTCTTGGGGGCTTTGTCTACAAGATGAAGACGAGATACCGATTGGAGAGGACCCGTTTGCGTGAAGGAGGAAGGCTTGTACGTTGGTGGAATGTACGATTAGGGAAAAAAACGGGCGAGCTGTACAACATTGGCCTGTGTAGAGTCGTGTACATGAGCAAAATCACATGAAATACTAGAGGCAGTGATGGCTAGTAGAGAATGGTATCGAGTGACATGGTGACTGACAAAGGGGCGGACGACCAGGTCACGGCGACAAATACATTCAACAATAATGTCTCTTGGGTCGGTCATGTCGAGGCCTGAGTTAGAGCAGATACTCAGCATCATCACAGAGTCACATCAAGGATTGAACGCGCATAGGTGTTCATCAATCGTCATAAGTGTACAGTATACTAAGAATGTACAGTGAGAACAAACGCCAAAATCAAAAGTCTGTCCGCGGCCTGAGCCATCTAGTCCGCCTTGGTTTTATAGAAACGACTGGATTCCGCGCCAATAAAAAAAACATGTGCCCACCCTGATTACTCCATAGTACAAACTCCTTGCAATGTATGCTCCTTTTTCCTTTTCTCACAAAACAGGTCAAATCGCGGGTCTTGCGGGTGTAGTGACTACTCTCCGCGGAGGCGCTGTGATTACGTCGCTGTCGGTATCCGTAGTCTCGTCATCGACGGGCTCCGTATTGCGTCTCCTCATATCCTCAGCCATCGGCGGCCGTTCGTCGACACCAAATGATCTGCTGCGTCTGGGGAGATTGGTGAGGCTGTCTTCGTGTGGAATCACGGGGCCAGGGTGAAGGAATTGAGTAAAGATGCCTTGACCCCTGTTCGTGCTCATTCTTCTCGACCTCAAGTTTGACCTCGTGGCGCTGAGCGCAGTTCCCGTCGATGCGGCAGTAGCAGACCGGACCAGAACTGGCTGCGCCTCGGCGGCTTCTTTCTCGAACCGAGATTCGCTTGGCAAAAGAACAGCGCGATCCAAGCCGTAGGGGAGACCACGATGGCGACCACGGATTTGCATTGCAATCATGATGAGCTTGCCTCCAGTGGTGAACTGAGAGCAGAGGGAAGCATTGACGTTGGGATAACCCAGACTCAACCCGACCGTACCGTATGCACTCACGATCTCGAACAAGACCGAGTAGACGTCAAAGTCCTTGTTTTGAATCCTCTTGCCTTCTGTGATGGCCAGAATGAAGAGCCCCAAGAAAACGTACCACAAATCGAAAGAAAGTTGGCGACGCAAATGGGTACCGACGTATGACCAGGCGCTATTCTCGTTGGTACCCTCCATATCCTCGTCAGGGCTGTGGTAAACACCCAAAGATCTCTCTTCGTACACGTTGGTGCGACGAATGGAGATGGCGATTGGAAACACGGAGATGTACATCATAATCATATATGACACTTGCACAGCAGGATGCAACAGCGAAATGTTGACAACCGAGAAACCTGCAGTTCTGGTCGACGCAGCCTGGAAGATACCATCCACAATGCGAACGTGCACCGGCAAATGGCTCACAGCGTTATCGTTCAGCTACAAGTAGTGTCAGTCAGCGTAGTTCAGTTATGGGTAGCGAGAATGACTTACATCCAGCAGGACAAAGAACAGCAGGTCAAGAACGTTGAGGCCGATGAGAATGATGAACAGCCACCAGGTAGCGCCCGCTGGGAAAAGCAGAGTGAAGCAGCGACGCGGGTGGTCCAACAAGAAGCGTAGTTCCTCCCATAGTCCTGTGCGTTTTGGCACAATCTTGGAGAGAATCCAAATAACGACTCGGAGCATGATGGGGAAGCCGGTGTTGCCAATGATGATCAGGAAAGACATGATCAACAGGATGAAGGACGCGTCGTTGAACGAGTTCATGCTGTCAGGCGTGAGTGTAAGTCCCAAATCATTGAAGGCCGAGTTCGCCGTGAAAACACCCCACCACGCCTTGCTAACACCCGAGTTCTCCACGATAGCGGCGTACTTGGCATTGGAGCTCGTGTAGATCCAAGGAAGGAAGCAGGTGATGGCGAAGAGCGAGAAGCCCCAGAAGTAGCAGAGCAAGATGACGGCGAGTGTCCTCAGGGAGCGGTATTCGATACCACCCAATTCCTCGCGCTGCTCAATGGTCAAGCCCGGGAAGGCTGAGTTGCGTCCCATGGTAGGCGTGAAACTCAGATACGGCATGTCCTCGACCTTTTCGCGGGTCAATGCAGTCCTGATGGTGTCGAATGTCTTGCTCCTGACTCTCGCAAGAGGGTTGTCAGAGCTGCTGCCTTCGCCGTTGTCACTGCTGGTACCCTTGAAGAACTTCTTGGGCTTGCGGAGCGAGAATGGAAAGATTGTTCTACCAATCACCTCGGCTTCATCCGCAATCTCGTCCTTGACCGTCCTCTCGGTATCCCTGGGTCGCTCAGGCTCCTCGATTT